TGTTGATTGTTGTGACTGTCCTGCTAACCTGGTTTGAAACTGTCTCATTGCTGTTTCTTTTTCAATAAAATTGATTAAAAAATTTAAGAAGTTTTCTATGCGTTTTGATTGTAGATGTGGTACTTTTCCACAATGGAGAATTAATCAGCTATTAAAAGTATATACTTGAGAGTTATTTTGGTAAATAGGTGTAGCTAGCGACCATACTCTTAAGTTAAATAAATCAAACCTGCATGTGCAAACATTGGATTGTCTCCTTAGTGTGAGATCATGAAAGAGAAAATGGAACCTAAAGGTACAGTAGGTACTGGGAAAAGGCAATGAACTTGTTCAAGAGGACGGACTTACAGAGTTGAGAATAATATGAAAGGGAGTGAGGGAAAGAGATATGTCTATATATGTAATCAGAACAGTTTGTAGAAAAAGTTTCTGGATGGAACGGAGCAGTTGTTTCTTAATTTTTTTTGTCTCCTTTTTGTTATTCTTTAACTTTTTCTCTTCTTAATTTCTTGTATATTCCTTTCTGCTTTTCTTTCTTTTTCCAATTTTGCATGTACATATCTATTGATATGAACAACTAATTTGAAGAGAACACTATGCAATGCAACAAATGCTGTGAAATTCATGCTATTTTGTGTAGTGAAATTCTGTATCATTTGTAATTTTCTCTTGTTATACTATTTTTTTCTCTCATTAAAAAATAAAAATTGAAAAAATAAGGCCATAGTGTTGATCTACTAAGTGCTACTAAAGCTTCATATGTAACTCATATTGGCATTTGTAGCATCTACAAGCATCTTTTTGATAAAAGAAAATAGAGATTATTTCAAAATGGCATTATAGACATGTTAAGATATAATTGAGGAAGACTTATACCATTTAACACATTATTAACTTTGTCTTGATTCATTGAAGATAAATACATGGGCTGCAGAGATATCTTGGTAGTCTAAAAGCCTGCCTGACAACAAGGACCCAAGTTCTATCTGTGGTACTGCATGCCACATGGGTACCAGTGCTATGAGCATGTCATCCTAGCCCCAAGGCTGCTGAGACAAGAGGATTACTAGGAGTTTCAACTGCACAGTGAAACCATGTATCAAATACATACATACATGCATACATACATACATACATATATTTTGGCATGCTCAGACAAGATGACTGCAAGTGAGAGCTCAGCTTTGGCAAGCACCTTAACAAGACCTTGTCTCAAACTTTAAAACCTTTAAAATGTTGGGGAATATAATTCAGTACAAATGCCCTGGGCTGAGTCCATAATAAAGCAAAAATAAATAAATAATATAAGTATTTATATATTTCAGAAGTTTTGAAACTTAATTCTTGGATCAAAAATGAACCATTATCATATCTCAAGATATTGGGAGAGATGCTTAAGTGTGATATTATCTAAAATATATATTCAGGATTAAAAGGATAAATTGATTAAAGGAGAATTCTTATAGTCTTAAGTAGCTTTTTTTTATTTTTATTTTTTTTTATTTTTTATTTTTTTTTCTACAGTTTTATTGATAAACATATAGCAATGAGACAGTTTCAAATCAAATTGGAAGTACAGTTTCAACAAATAATACACTGCATATATTATTCTTAGTGGTTAATTGCTGTACAAGATGCGGACTTGTGATCCTATTTACAAACACCAATAGAACAAATCATTCCATTCATTAAGACAATGCAACTATATATCTACCCCAACCACTTTGAATACACAGATACAGAATGGACATTCATCGGTGTACCCCATTTTTCCTAAGTTCAGTTACTGAATATTATAGCTGTGTTAACACAGTCATTTTAATTAAAATTTACACAGATATTAGAAAACATACTAACAATTAGTAGAAATAAACAATGGAGTAAATAATTTCTCATTTTCATAATAGAACCTTAAAATTATCTCTTAATTTATATTACTCTCAAATTTTGTTCAGAAACTGTTAACTAAGTGATCTGAAAATGTAATCCAAATGGAAAAACAACCATTTAAAGCATGGGAATTTTTAACTCTATATTAATATTCTTAACTTTAAAAGATTCAAGTCAACAACTTCTGACAATTGCCAGTTCTGCTGATAATCCACTACTTTTATGGGCTATTGGATTATATTGAGTTATTTTGCTGAATTCAAGTACCTACAATCTTTAGACTGGTATCCAGTATGAAAAGGGCCTTTAAAGACTTCTCCAAATATAGCTTCTCTATCTGTAATGGAACACCCATGTCTGACAAAACAAGAAAAAAAGAGGGATATAAAAAAGGACTATTTTGTAGTGAAAAATATATATACCTATATACAAGATAGGATAGATATACAGCTACTTTCTCTAGGTTCAATGAGAAGAAAGGTTTGTACTAATATTGTTTATACAAGGTATCATGTATACATCTTGTCCTCTGAATAACTACTATGAAGACAACATGCAACACATTAATTATTGTAACTGTCCTACTAACCTATTTTGAAACTGTGTCATTGCTATCTTAACTTTTTATCTCATTAAAATGAATAAAAGATTAAATAGCATGGGAATTCTAAGCTAGAGTTCTATCATCCTAGCTGTTTGAATTGAATATGAGGTTGAAATCATATAAGTTATGAAAACGTGGATGATATGTATGTGCATTATTAAAATTGAGATATTAAAACTATAAATCACCTGTGCATCAGTGCCATTTACTGTATGGTAACTTTGTGTGTGTGTGTGTGTGTGTGTGTGTGTGTGTGTGTGTGTGTGTGTATGGTGCTGGGGATTTAACCCAGTGCCTTCAGCATGGAAAGCAAGAGCAAATGCTCAGCCCCAGTGTCATTTATTGAATACTAATTTATGTCATAAAACAACAGATTCTTATCATAGAATCCTTAGCAGAAGTTATTCAAATGATGTTAACTAATGGTCTAACTCAAATACTACACAATCTGTACTAATAAAAGATTGATACAATATGTTTGGAAATTCAATGTTACAAAAAAATGCAAACTGTTAACATAAGAATAGTTGATTTGCATTAAATTATGTTAACTATCTCCATATTTCTTATTTTTACATGAGATTAGACAACCACTTGGAATAATATAGTCTTACGGTTCTCAAATGTAGAATTACATACTTAGCATGAAGGTGATAATTTCTGAGTGTTCTGCTTGCAAGATGGTGTGCTGACCCTATGAATCTATATTTAGATGAAATAAAGCAAATGTAAGCATTTAATTCCCCATGAAGTTACAAGAAGTATCCTGTTGTTATTTCATCTTCTGATGCTGCTTCCCTGTTCTGTACTTTTCAGTTTGGAGAACTGTGTCAGTGGTTCTTAGACCTAAGACCTGATGATTATCTTAGCTACTTGTAAAAGGTCTTCTGAAAGAAGACATTAAATAAATCCCAAAACAAAAAAAAAGAGAAGAAAACATTGTGCACTTTACTTTCAGGGACATTAAGAACAAAATCATAAGGAATAGTGTGCTAAAAGGTATTAATTTCATCTATAGTTCATTTATTAATTTCCAAGACAAAATTTAACAAGAAGATAAGTAGCACCTTAACGGACAAACAAACTCATCTTTAATAGTAAACACTCTCATTGCCATGTTTTTAGTAAGACTGAATATGAATTACAGAGCATCACCACTATAAATTTTCTTGAAAGTAATGTTTACATATTATCCAGTCATGGAAGGATGATTAGAGAAATACAAAAACTAAATCTTAGCTTTTAAAATTTTCTATGTCATGAAGGATCAGAATTGGAAAGTATCCTGGATTAAAGGAAACTAAATTCAGTCCCAATTCAAACACTGAAATTTTCAAGATTCTTAAATATGGTTTTAAATTATACAATGCTTTACCACTAGTTTTACTCCTTGTGATGATGCAATTGTTATATTGGGTAATATGACTTTTCTTAGAAAATATAGGCTGAATATTTATGGTGTGTGTGTGTATTTGTGTGTGTGTGTGGGTGTACACATTAAGAAACAAATCAGAAATATAATTGAGAATAAAGAGAAGATAAGAGAAAACAAGTGTGGAAAACTATTAATTATTGCACTAGTAAAGTATGTGTGTGGACATTTTTTACAATTGATTTTTCTGTTAACTATTCAGTATACCCAGAATATTTTAAAGTGCAAAGTTGGGTGGATGGTTAAGAAATTATAAATGAAGATTATTTGCTGGGTCCAAGCCGGAAAAAGGAAAACATAAACTGAGTAAGTCTCTTCTATATATCATGGCACTAAAAGTTTAATTTATTACACTGAAAGTTTTTGCATAAAAATTATATCTGAAGTAGCATGAAATAGCAATTGGCCATAATTTCTTCTCTGCTTTCATATTTTAAAGTGATCCATAAAACCACATTAAAAAAATACTTTTTTTTTCCTGGGCCAAACTTAAATTTGTCAACTTTGTAGGACTATATAATGTTTCATGGAAATGTTTTGCTAAATTAATCTTATTGTTAGTTACTCTTTTCTTTGGGCTGTATAGAAATTAAATGTATTTATTCCCAAGAATAAGGGAATAAGTCTAGCTTTTAGAAAAGGTTATTATTTAAATTATTTTCTACGATGAACATATGCAATTGTACATCTTAAAACATCAAGAAATGATAATATATATGTTATTTCATGGCATCATTAAAAAAAAGTGAAAAGAGTTAAATGTCATACAATCATCATCTTATACTTTATACTCATTTATGAAATTTGAGCATATGTACAATAGAACTGGGAAAGAACCATTTCCAATGTCTACTAACTTTCATTTTTTCCAGGAAGGTTGAATTTGAACCTAGGCCCATTATTTGGTAATTCTGTGATGCAACAATTACTGACAATTTGGGACACTGAGAATGCAAACATTAAAGAGTGAGAAAGATAAGAATATCTACCTTTACTGGGCATGGCTGTACATTCCTGTAATACTAGGACTAAAGTGGTTGAGGCAGGAAGATCACAAGTTTGAGGTCAGCCTGGGCTTCATAGCATTTTCAGGGCTGGTCTGGACTACATGGAAGATACTGTCTCAAAACAACAGCAAATAACAACAGCAATAATAATAATGATCACAAATGTATAATACTGTTGAGAGGATGTAAAGAAATGAGATAATATGTGTTAGGTACTCTGCACACTACTGTACAAAACATAATCAATATGAGCCCATTATAAGTTACTTCCAACATCTACAACACACAATTCTTCCTATTTTCTCCAGGAATGCATTTCCTCATTTATGTCTGAGAGATTCTTCCCAAATTATTAAGCTCTGAACACTATCTATTTATCTATTTATTTTTGGTACCAGGAATCAAACTATGGACCTTGTGCTTGGCAGGCAGGTGCTTATGCTACTGAGCTATAACCTTTGCCCTCAGAAAACTTATAAATCTAAGAATCAAATGGTGATTTATACTGTCACAGTGCCTATGATTTCACCGTCACTCTGGTAGTGAAGATTTTTAGATCAATTATTTATAATTATCTATTTATGTCCTATGGATATACATAAATATTATCATCATTTTCCAACAAAGTAGAATAAATTGCATTTTTAAGGATTATTTTATTAAAATAACATTTCTCAATTTTTATATTTGAATTTATTTTAATTTAAGTCAATTACTTCAGATGTAACTGTTCACTAAAATTAATAATACATAT